AACCATGGACAGGAGAGCAGTTGAAAGTCACTGTACCGCTTCCTTCTGTCACTTTGACAGATGACGGGTCCACATGGATGTTGCCCACCTTCTCTAAAGAAACACACAGGTATGAGCTATCCATTGCATTTTGGGGGGGGGGAGGGGGAAACCAACAAGGCAAGGTCTCTCAAGAAATGTCCCCCGAGTTAATGAAGTGACCTGCTTATATGAAAGTTAAAAAATTTCTTGCATTTCTTCATGCAACTAAGGCAAGCAGCAAACCATGATGGCCAGAACCTAGGAAGAGTGTTCCCACAGGAGTGGAAATTAAAGTTAAAATGGGGATCAGGTCATTTGTGATTGCTGTGGGATTTCAGAAGTCTCTTGCATGTTTGTGAGCCTGGGATATCACATGAATGAGAGATTCCACCTGGAAATAAGGAGGAATTTCCTGACAGTGAGAGCAATCAAACAAACGGAACAGAAGTTGCCTTCAGGAGTTGTGGGAGCTTCATCACTGGAGGCTTTCAAGAAGAGACTGGACTGCCACCTGTCAGAAACGGTATCAGGTCTCCTGCTTGGGTGAAGGGCTGGACTAGATGACCTACAAGGTCCCTTCCAACTCAATGTTAATCAGTGCATTCGTTTGGATGTAGCATGTGAGGCTACGTGGACGCAGAAATGTGTTTTGTTAACCATGTTTGTGGCACGGGGCTGGGGAGAAGAATATATGACTTATAGCTCCCTGAATTGCTGACGATTGGTGTGCCAACCCACAGCTGTTGGGGACAGAGGTTCAACCCTAACAATTATTGGCTTCCAATTTTTGACAGAGCAAAAATTAAAAAGAGAGGAATCAGAAGAGTTGGCTAGCTAGCAAGATCAGGAGCTTGAGATATTAGCGGCACCAAAGAAATCAGCTTCACAGCAATGGCATTAAAACTTGGTCCAACTCACCGTAAACTCTAATAGTGATGTTTCCCTTGCGGGCAACACTCCCCAGGGGGAAGATCTCCACTGAATAGATGCCGGAATCCACGGTCCTCAGGTCAGAAATATTGAGGTTGCCATTCACGGGGTCCACGCTGAACTGAGACTGGAAGCTGGAATCTACCTTCACTGTAAAATTAGGACGCAGGTTTCCTGATGCCAGGACGGTTGCATTCCTTCTCCAGATGATAATAATTTCGCCCTGAGCAGAGGGTAAAGAGAATGGAATGGGGAGAGAAACAGAATTCCCAAGAAGCACAGGCAGAGGGGATGAAGATAGAATGGGGAATAAAGGGGCTGGAAACAGAAAGAACAAGTAAGCAGTCAATATACTTTTCTCTGCTATTAATGGAAACACACCAATCATTGCAATGGGATGGGGCGACCTTGTCTGGGCTGCAAAAATCTTCACGACCACCTGAGGGCAGCCAAGAGTTTTTTGTAGCCCTGCGCAGGGGCGTCCAAACTTGGGAACTTTAAGACTTGTGGACTTCAACTCCCAGAACTCCCCAGCCATGGGAATTCTGGGAGTTGAAGTCCACAAGTCTTAAAGTTCCCAAGTTTGGACACCCCTGCTCTAGCGTTTAAAGCCATGTGGTGCGGTGCTCAGAATGCAATATTGCAGGCTAACTCTGCCCACTGTCTGGAGTTCGATCCGGCAGAGCTCAAAGTTGACTCAGCCTTCCATCCTTCCGAGGCCGGTAAAATGAGGACCCGGATAACAAGATGCTGACATGTGTAAACCGCTTAGAGAGGGCTGTAAACGCACAGGTATATAAGTCTTAGTGCTATTGCCGTTCTGATTTTTGCTGCCCAGATATGGTAGCCCTTGCAGAGGGGAAATGACTCCTATAAAAAGGTAACGTCACAATTAAATGGGAATTAAGTGGAGAATTTTGGGTGGATAGGAAGCTAGACAAAGCCCTCATAGCCCAGCCACACAGTTGGATGGATCAGTTCTCCCTTGTATTAATCATCTCCCCATTATGATATAAAGCCACTCCTGCCTTCACCCCTCATTCAAGCAAATGGTCAGTTATTTACTTTTTAAATAACTTCCTAACAGCCATGGAGTTTTTGCAGCAGGCATCAAAACATCTTCCCCCATCTGCATCCGAGCCCGTAAATCCAAGCAACACCAATTTAAATAAGTGACTATCCTCGAGCAATAGGTTCTATTTGTGTGATTATAAATAAATAAATAAATAAGCAAATCAACACATAGATTTTCTTAGATTCCTTCCACTTTGTCCATCAACTCCCTATCCTGATACCCACCCAATTATCTTTGTCCTTCCATGAGCCATCAAAAAAACATAAAGACTGCTTATAGACTCTGGAAGAGAGATAACTTCCCTGTTCCAGGTTCACACAAATAACACGTTTATAAAATGGATAATCAACCACACGACCTGGCTGGCTCTTGCCAAATGTCTAGGGTTTTTTTTTTTTTTTAATGTACAAACGTCAACATTCAGGCATCATTATCTCAAAAAGAACTAAGCTTGTGAAGGCAGCTTCAAAAATTGCTGCCCGTGTGGTCCCATTTAAAACTGGCTGGATTTGGTATCATGATGTTGCGCTCCCTGGAAGGGAGCAGTGGTCCCAAGCCTAAAAACGTTGGCCTTAAATCTTGTTTAAGTATAATCAACTTGCCCTTTGTTTCCCTCAAAATGGCCAGTTTCACAAAGCTGTGAGAAAAGCTGGGCGTAATGTGTTATCGATAGTAGGCTGTGCTGATTTGAAAATGAATAGGATTTTAGGATTTGCGCATGCAATATTTTCCCGTCTATTTATTAATCCCCGGGCCCAATTATCATATTTAAGAGACTATGATAATAGTCCTTTCCTTTCCCTTCCTCTCTCCTTTCTTCTCCACTCCTCCTTTCTTTCTTTCCTTTCCTTCTTTCCCTATACTGAAATAAGAATTACGTTAAGAATCCTTACTACCACCTTCAGTTTAACTAGCGAAGGAAGATAAACACTGCCTTTCTGTAAGCTCCTAGGCTGAATGAGGCTGGTTTAAGATCCTAGGCTGAATGAGGCTGGTTTAAGGCTGAGCATAACATGGGAATCCAATTGAAGTGGTCAGACAAAAATAAAATAAAATAAAAAGACACAAAAAAGGGGTTTCTTTTTCTACTACTTTCCACCCTCATTTCTGTAGCCTCAGCTTTCTCTTCTAATTAGTTGTAATGAACATTATATAGTCATGAGCACTGATATTAAAACTCAATCCCCAAGCTTGCCAACAGCTGTTTTAAATTTGTATACATTTAAATAAATTAAACTTCCGTTAAATAATTTACTTTTACAAGGCAGGCCCATCACCATGGCATTTTGCTAGAAAAAGCAAGCTGGAATCTCTTAATAAGTCATATCAAGAATTGCCATTTCGGTTCTATTCCTCTATGATTNCTTTCCCCCCGAGGGGGACTCAGGGCGGCTCACAACTCAAAACAAGGGAAGTTTGTTTTGTACAAACAGTTTGACAACAACACAAAACAATACATGATTTAAAAGCGCAACAATCATACCATTCGAGATAGGGGCACGGTTCTTTAGCCCCAGGCCTGTCGGAACAGCCAGGTTTTAAGTGAATGCATGACCTCGTGACAAGCAAAGCCAAGGGGGAATCCAGATTCACTTAACAGCTGTGTTACGAACCTAACAACTGCAGTGACTCAATTAACAGCGGTAACAAGAAAGGTCGTGAAATGACGCAAAGCTCATTTGACAACTGTCTCGCTTAGCAATGGAAATTCAGGGCTCAATTATGGTCGCACCTAGAGGACTATCTGCAAACCTTTCCAGAAATATGTTTCGGGCCCCCATGTGCTCATGTCTTCTAGACACCCACCCCCCCACTCCCCCAACCACAGCAGGGAAGAAAGATAAAGGCAAAGTCAACTAACGGACAACGTTGATACGACGGGTGTTACGAATTTGTAGCTTCGTCTCCTGATTGATCGCCAGGCAGGAATACAGGCCCCCCTGATTCAGCTGCACTCTCTGGAGCTGCAGAACAGGCGAGGAAGGGACGTCGAGGTCCATATTGTCGGCCACGTTCCAGTAGATCTTTGCCGGCGGGTTGGAAGGTGCCAAACATGTGAGATTGACAGTGCTGTTCACCAGCACAAAACTCCCTGCGCTTGAATCTTGCTCAGAGGACGAGACGGTAATTGTTGGGGTCTCGGGACCATCTGGGTGGAAGCAAAAGAACGTTAACTATAGTTCATGCAACATGTGTTGGTTTAGATACAACCTGTCGGGCTCATCTGCAGGGCCCTGGACAGTGGTGGGATTCAAAATTATTTACTACCGCTTCTGCGGGCATGGCTTGGTAGGCGTGGTGTGGCTTGGTGGGCGTGGCAGCAGAAGGATACTGCAAAATCCCCAGTCCTTCCCATCCCACTAACCTGCTTTCCAGCTCCATTCTCCTGCGCAGGGCAACAGAAGAAGACCCAGCCGATCAGCTGGGACTTGGGAGGCAGAGAATAGATGGGGGCAGGGCCAGCCAGAGGTGACATTTGCCAGTTATCCAAACAGCTCAAAATTTCACCAGAACCAGTACAGAACCGGCTGAATACCACCCCTGGTTTATCTTTCCGCCATTGGTCATCCCAGTGTTGATCAGACACGAAAAACAACCAAATGACTGAATTCTACTTTATGAATTCTATTTTAAGTCTCCCAGAAGGTGCTTTTTTTTTTTTTAAAAAAAAAAAGGCAATTGGATTTTCTTTG